GAAATGGAAATTTTAATAAAAACTAATAGCTTGTTTAGTTCTAAAAGAGTTTTTTATGAATTTTTATTTTTAACAAAGTTTTATGACATAGGGCTTTTTTATTGTAATTAAAAAAAAAAGTCGTGAGATAGGGCTTTTTGGAACAAGCTAAATACAAAGTATTTCATTTCTTTAATAATGAATAATCGGTATGCTATGGAATAAGAGGAAGAAATCAGTTTTTAAAAGTTAATTTATCATAAAAATGGTGGCAATCAGAAGGTATAAACTTTTTGAGTTCCTGTAAATTATCCCACTTTTTCTTCGATATTGCAATTTTGTTTTTATGTAGATATTTAGGAGTGGTATCTTGAGTACTGATTTTTGATCGTTGTGGAAGTATTTCGTTTTCTCCATTTATTTGTGTTTTGTAATATAATAACCTAGAAGAATCATAAGCCAATGCGGGCAGCATGTTAACAGTGGGATCTCCACTGCTTCTGCCTAAAAAAATTTGCTATTAATATTCCAGATTAATTTTTTGTATAGTAGCTTTTGTTACCTGGTCGAATAGATAAGTATCGCTTTGGAATATTCTCAAAATCCAAAAAATCGTCGTAGTGCAATTGATGTGCTTGTAAGGGAGATGGGTCTCTTCGTGCCTCCCTGATGAATTACCCAAACTGTGAAGGAAAGCTCAATTGCTTTCCACATATTTTTCTTTCTATAAGCGAATGCGTTGAGTCACATTCCATTTCTGTATGCCCACTTATTAAATACTGTTGCTCTACTGTAACGCTAGTTTTCTGACAAAAGGCAAGCAAAGCACTTGATAATGCAAGGGACTGTGTACGTTTGGAAAATTCGGAACAAATCTGTTTTTTTTCGCAAAGTCGACAAGATTTATAACATATAGGCGTTTTTGATCTCACGACATCGACCAAAATAAACTGAATATTTCTATACGTACAGGCTCCATAAAAGCAGAACAATTCCTTAGTGAACTTTTTTCACAAAAATTTGATGAGCATGGTTCACCAAGCTGTCTTGCTGGTCTCTGCAAATCTCCTTTTTTCGATTTACATACATATTGTTCACCCTTCATTCTAATTATTTTGTTCTTATTTTGCATCCATTTAGATGGATGTGCTTTACGACTTCTTTTTGGTGCAGAATCCTTTATCTTTTGATCATCACTGTCAGTGCTTTCACTCACAATATCCATATTTACAAATTTGCACACTTATATTTTATATTAAAGTACAGTTTTCGAAAACAAACACGCTCTGATCTTTACAATAGAAAACTGTTTATTTAGCTTCGATTCATAAAACAAAGAAAAGCGATGAGTACTTTGCAATTAATTTTATTTACCATATATAAGTATAGTGTGAGTTAGGGCTTCAAATAAAAAATATAAATAATATGGATTGAGTTAGGGCCTTTTTTTAATGCTTGTATTACCGTTAATTTCCATAAGAATGCAACAATTTTTTTAGAGAAGGTGCAACTAGAGGTTATACATCAAAATCCGTTAAAACCCCGCTTCGGTAAAAAATATGAGTTAGGGCCTTTCTATATTAGGGTAACGATATGCATACACTGCTTACAATTTGTATTGCGAATGACAAAAGTATAAAATCAAAATTTTTTTATCAAGTGCATGCTGTGTACGCTAGATAGCATACAATCAGGCGCAAAATTTAAACAAATTGTTTGGCTTAAAGTATAGGGTGAGATAATACATACATTATACAACGAAAATCATTTACTTCCGTTTACTTTTATATCTGTGGTGCATACAAAAAGTAATTATGATTGCGACACCATTGCGATAGTGATAGATACTGCCGATCAGTGTTGCCGTTGTGCGACTGAAGGGGCAATTTAACCCTTTTTAGGCGCCAATACCCTTTGATTTTCGTATGATAAATTGTGTAACAATTAAGGCCTAAATTGAGAAAAGGTTCTTAATTGAAAATAAGGTGCCTGTTTGAACATAGTCTAATACTTTTCAGCTTTAAATAGGTCTGGCTCTTGCTTTAGCAACCGAATTAATGTCTGGCAAATTAATTTTATATTCATTAGAACTTACACAACATCATATTAAATTTTGAGCTTTACTAAAATAAGGTGAAAAAATTAATTTTTTTTCATAAAAAATGACGTCTGGCACAATGTTAGCAACAACGGACATGTCTGGCAATAACAAATCTACGTTTCTAAAAGCTAGTTAAAGCCAATGGAAAGAAAATTAGCCTTACTAAAATGATTTAAATAATTAGCATTTTTAACTGTAAAGATAGGATGCGCACTAGTCAACGCAACCATTACCGCCTGCCAGATGGCCCCACGCTAACCGAGGGAGTAAGAGAGATGTCATATTAAAAAACCAGCTGTCCTGAAATTCCTGTTTTCACGACGTTGCTAGCTCCCGTACTAAAAGAAGAAATAATAACGTCGTCGTTTATATAAATTCAGAGTGACAATTCATTTACAGTTTAGAGATCATATGTATGTACCAAGCCACCTATCGAGTAACAAATGAACTAATATCAGAAGCATACCTAGATATTAAAAACACATGATTATAGGAATGAATAAATAAAGGGTCCACAGACCGACCGAGCCTAGCGACGCGTGCGGTACTTTCACTCTTTTATTACTCGTAGGCAAATGCTTGGGCACTCTGGGGAAAAAATCGGAAAATCTGACAACGTCTTTGAAAAGCTAAGGAATTTTTTTTACCATTTTCCTACCTTCAGCGCGAGTTGAAAACAACAGTATTTAGCGCTTGCGCGCCGCGCTAGGAGATTTGAAGTGATTCTCCCCATATACAGTTACTGGCAAAAGTATTTTGGGAAGGAGCGAATCGTTCGTGTTGTCTATCGTTCGTGATACATAATAAGGCAGGTTCTGGCCCGCCAGATCGGAAGAGGTCACTACCTAAGTAAGGACAAAGAGTTGGAGTGTAATTCGAGCAGTTTATAAACCACCAAATTTGAATAGCAGTGTTATATATGTACATATACGTACACGGTTGCTCTTACGGTACGTCTCATTCAGAGTGTCCAGATTGGGCGGTTTAGCGCCAATTAGTCGATTGTTATTAATTTTATTTATAGGAATTCGCTTTGGCCGATTTTGAGCGATGTTTTTCCCTTCAAATCCATTATTTGTGCGCTACCACGTAAATGCGCTCGTTATCTTTCACCCATCGCAACACGTGAGAAATGGGTTGTAGGTTTTGAGCATTTGTTTTGATGTGGCAACCCTTTGTATAGTTATACTTGCCGTACTCAAATGCTTTTGTTGAGTGAGTTTTTCCGTAATGAATCCAACTAAACAAAATTCGGATTAGGATGACGTTGGAAAGCCAATACACGTGCGCACTTAACCGATAAAAGCAATTAAGCGAATTTTCTTTACTGCTTCCATAAGGAAGGTATCCGAATCCCTATTAAACCAAATAATGGCGGAGCACTTACAACGTAGAAATTACTGCAAGCGATATTTTTACTGAAGTGTATCTAATTATCTATATAACTACATAAATTGATTGCCATTTTCGTTGTTCTGCGAGATGAGCAAAATAAATAAAAGCTTGTAAAATGAGGAAATTGTAGCGCCAGTGCAGATAACCGTAATACCTTTTTGATAATTGATAATAGTTGCACAATTTTTAAGGCAGGTATCGCTAACGTGTAGGTATGTTGAATGCATATATCGGAGCAGTTTCTTTATAAATGTTAAAAATAATGCAGCTGATGCGCATTTTAGGGTAGGTGTCTTAAATGTGCACTTAAGCATAAAGGCAGCAAAGCTGTATATATATATAGTTGCAATATACTGTAATTCAATAATTCGAATAAAACTTTATATGAGAGCTAATAGTTTCTGCTGAAAATCGTTTCCAATACGAAATAATACGCTATCAAGTTTGAATATACGACAACAATACAAAAGTTAATGATTTAGACACTATATATGACTTTGAAGAAATTGTGAAAATAGCTTATCTCGCCTAGTTATAGCTTTATATTTTATTTTTTAGTGCCTACCGCTTAAAAGAGGATTTTAATCAGTTAATATGACTTATAATACATTTTTTGAAAGCGCAGTCCTATTGTCAAATGTGTTAATTCATACATTTTTTGTACATCACTTTTATATAAGTGATTTGAGTTATTTATTATTACCCTGAAAGTATTATACTCATAGTTAAAATGAGAGATTAAAAAATTAATTTTGGGCTATTCTTTTCAGAAATGAAGTTGTTTTAAACAATCCGGTAGTAAAATACACGATTTTGAAAATTAAAACTGAGGCTGTTTCGAAACGTGTTATGTAACCGTCTACAGTGCCAATATGTGATGCTGTGTGTATCCAACCGTTGGAAGATCAGTTTACCTTAATATTTGACATTGATTCTGGTTTTTCCTTTTGATTTTATAATTTTTATTCAAATATTGAATTTCAAAAGTTCGTTGTAAAAAATACAAAAAGGTCGAGCGATACCTACCGAATTCTGAATTCCCTAAGTCCCAAGTTATCTCAGAGCCAATTCTCAAGAGAGGCAAGACATTGCGTCGTTTAAGAAAATAGAAATTTAAATCTGTGGTAACTACCTTTATATTTATATATGTACATATTTAACTTTGGATGTTCTGCAAGTGGACGTAATACCATTAACACTTTCTCCGTTTCTCTATGCACTTAAATTTAGTTGATTTTAATACAGCTCCTTTGAACCATAGATCCACCAGTGTTCCTTTATTTCTAATTCAGCACGCAACGGTATTACATATGTATCTGTACCACTTTGTGTTTTTGTATATGCTTAAAAAATTCAGTAGTTTGCATATGCTGTTTGTTTTATATGCTATGAGATTTATGTACATCTATCTATTTTTTAATTTGATTTGAATTCATGATTTGTTTAAAGAACCAAAATTCTTAGAACTGATTTTAAAACTAACATTTTTTCCAAAAAATTTAAAAACAACAATTACAAAATACAGACTATGGCTGCCACCAAGCGCAATGCCGGACTAACTTCAGCTGTACCTCGGGCCACATTGAATGACGAAGAACTGGTAAGTTTAGCGAAATAAGATGTACCTACATATGTATTAATTACGGCTATGAATAAGCACCAAACAAAATGTAGGGTGACAGTATTAAAATCAAAGTAGTATGGATTTATTAAACCTCTACTCTCAAGCCAGATGGCACGGTAGTAATAAAATATAACATTACTTTATGTACTACCAAAAAAAGGTTGTTACCTAGCGAAATCGAGAGTTAAACAGGCATATACTTACATATGCATATGCAGTCAGCGTCAACAATATGAATACCCTATTTTCCATACCATTTTATTATTATTTTTTTTTTATAAAAACATGGTTCATTCTACAGCAAAAACCAACAGAATAATTTTTTTCAATTTCATATAGAACTCAAGTAAGTTCAAGAAATACCAAAAAAATTTCATCAAAATTTTCAACTTTTCAATTCAATTTCTTAGTATTTTGAGTAGGCAGTTTTGTAGCCCATTAAATTTTGGGTCTCTAAAAATTATCGTTGATTTTTGAAAATTTTTCTGCCAAGTGTGTTTCGCATTTTCTTCCATATAACGCATGAACCAAATCTATTTTTATATGAAAGAAAACGAGCAACACCCTCGACAAAAAAAAATATCAAAAATCAATGGAAATTTTTATATACTTGGAACTTGCACCTAAACATTAATTAAAGTTTTTAAAAATTTTTTAAAAATGGAATTGAAAAGTTGAATTTAGTATAATAAGTTCAAGTTTTCTTTTGCTGACGGCTTTTTGCACATATTTCTATACAAGCATGAATTTTTTATGAAAAAAAATGTGCAAAACCGTTTGGAAAGAAAAAAACGAATGCCAGTTTTTTTTAATTGCACTTGTTATATGAAAAAACCCTCAAAAGCCATCAGCAAAAAAAATATTAAAAATCGACGCTGCTAATGAGCTACAAAACTGCATACTCAAAAAATTCTAAAAAATTAGATTAAAAAGCTCAATTCTTTAAAGAAATTTTGTTAAACTTTTCTAAGCTGTGCACAAAGTTTTAAAATTTGATTTATATGGTTTTGGTTAAAGCATGAATCATATTTTTATGAAAAAAATTTAATCTAAAAACCTTTAACAAAAATTACCATGTGGTACTCGTTTCTGTTCCCCAATACTATTTTATATGATGTCGGCTAAAAAACTTGAAATTATTGCAACAGTAAAATATTATTTTATCAAGTTTCAAGAAAAACACTTTGACGGATGAAGAAGTCTTTCAGGCCTACAAAGATAATATCGCCCGATTCATCTAGATCAAAAATGCTTCAGGCAAGTAAGAGTTACTCTGCATTTTGGCGACGGACCGACATATGTATGTATGTACATTTTTTTATTTGAATCGAATCGTGAATCGTGTATTTGAATTCAACTTTTGATAAGCGAGTCTCCCTGAACGGGGTTTTCCATATTTTTGGCCTGTGTGCGCTTTCATTAGAGACCTAAATATTTCGGAACCGAGTATCGAAAGTATTGGATACTTTTTAAATCGGTACCGAGTATCGGTAATCGAGCACGTAATTCGCTCTCCCAATCGCAATTGGCGCCCCAATTACCCTTCGAATTACGTAATTCGCCATACAAATTTTTTAGAGCGAATTACCACATTTGTAAGTAGTTCAGTCTCAATTTCCTTGCGAATTATGAACGAATCGTTATCGTACCCCATTTTTATCGGAAATTTATAGAAATTAGCTGCCAAATGAAAACGAAAGAGTAAACCAAAGAAAAAAAGTGAGCAAAAGTTGCATAATAACAGAAAAAGTTATTTTATAAAAATAATAATAATAGATTGGCGCTTACAGAATATGTTAGTGTTTGGCAGAGCTTCTCCTCCGATTTTTGGCGTGCGCCTTGATGTTGTTACACAAAGAGGAGGGACCTACAGTTTTACGCCGGCTGCCAACGGCGATTGCATTTTTATGAGAAGCTGTTTTTCATGCAGTGATGTTCAGAGAGATGTTTTACTCTGCGCGCGCCCATATAAAATCTACAGAGAGGTTTTGAAGAGTTTCGCCCGCGGGCGCTGTTTTGAGCATCACTCATGGCAGAAATATACTCGGAGGTTTGCCATTGCTTGCCGAGGGGCGATCGCTGTGAATTTTTTTTTGTGATGTTGCTTTGGCCAGGGCTTTAACCGAGACCCTGCGGAGTGGTAGCGCGCACTGCTAACGTCTACACCACGGCGGCCGCCGGAAGCAAAAAAATAAATTGTTAAAAAAGTATGCTGCAGGATACCATTTGTCCTCAGAGGAACTGTTCCATGAGGAGCAGTTTACTAATGGCCAAAACAACTTTTCGTAAAGTACCTAGAATTAATATAATATTCGCTAAACAAAGTTAAATCTTTATTTTAACTTACTTTTTTCTCCATCATCGAACATTCACAGCAAAGAATAGTAATAAATGGCAAATACCAACAAGCAGTAGAGCTGTCAAACGAGTTATTAAGCGAATTACGTGCCGTGGGAATCTACTTTAAGGGCTGTTTTCACCGACTCTGGTTAACACCAATCCCCAGTTAAACATCGTTGCCGCCGTTACCGACACAGTGTTATATGCATAGTGTCAGTAACACTGACAACGATGTTTGACCGGAGATCAGTGTTATCTAGACATTGAGAAACTGGCCCTAACAGGCCTTTTCCGCTTGTAACCGAACATTTTATAATAAGCATATTTTGTTACCAACAAGTTTCACCACTTCTTGCAACCGCAATTCTATTTACCTTATTTATTCAACAATTGAGCTTTGGAGATTTGCAGAAATTCTGGTGTTGCATATTTCACGGGGCAATATTTTGTTACCTGCTCATGAGACGGTAACAACATTTACCGGTTACAAGGTGTGGAGAATGCCAAAAGGGTTTAAAAATTGACAGTAACTTTATTTATTTATTGTAACCGAAATTCTATGTACATTCGTAATGCCGTCAAAATGCTCAGCTAAACAGTTTGTTTGTTTGTTTGTTTATTTATTGATTTATCCTAACACAACAATCTTACAATTATTTTTTAGTGCTAGTCACGCGTTTACAATTTTTTTATTAAATCTAAAAAAACATATGTATATGATACAGTGTATGGCAATTTAGAATATACTTATGTATTTGGAAAAGAGGGAGAGGGCGGGGAAACAGAAGAAAAAATAATATAATAATAGGTAGACAATAAAAAGAAAAAATAAAATTTATATAATAATATGTAGGAATTGCAGGTACACACAGAGTAAACAAATTTATATATTAATTGCATTCATTGCTATAATAGTTCTTACCCAAATAGGAAGAGAGCTCCAAAGACGTATGGAATTGATAAAAAACTGACGTTCAGAGACAAGGGTTCAATATTTGGTGTGTACTAAAAGTTCAGACTTCGATGATTGGAGAAATTGAAGTCTTTCGTACAAATAACTAGGCTCCTTAGAATTAGTTTTGGTGAAGAAATGGCATTGCATATTTCATGGGGCAATGTTTTGTTACCAGTTTATAATACATGTGTATAAAGTTAGCGAAACAACATGAAGAAAAATATGTCGCATATACCCATGAATTTGTGATTTTTTTCCGTTAATTAGTTGAGGAAAAAATAATTTTGTCTTTGTATTTCTTTTATATATATATAAGGTGATTTGCTAACTTTATATAAAGTCAAAGATAAAAGACTAGGCTTCATATCCGAATTTGCCGTTTTTTTTGCCGTTCCATGATGAGCTAGTTTACTTTTGAAAAAAAAACAAAAAACTTTAAATGAAAAAAAAAATTGGCAATGTTTTTTTCAATGTTCAATAATTTTTAGAAGAAAAGAATAATAATAAAATAGAAAAGAAAAACCGGTTGCTTTATGTACCACTTTGAATTTTAAACAAACAATATTCACCATGGTTAAAATTCAAAAAAATAAGTTCAGCAAAGAGTTCAAGATTCATAGAAAATTGCTATATAATTTTTATCACCCTATCGCCATCTGCATAATCTTCGCTCAAAATAATAATTACCTATTACTTGAATAAATAATAATATGAGCAATTCTAAGCCTCTTTGAATAAAAAATAATAATTTCTTCCAATTAAAAAATAAAGAAAAAATCAAAAACCGGTTTTCAACGAGCCGCATAGAAAATTATGCAACAAAAAATTTATTGCTTTTACTATTTTTAATTAATTATTAAACAGCTTTCCGCGAAAATTATTAAAAAAATAAGGCTGTTTAAACAAAACCAAAATTAAACGACAAAATCAAAAACAGTTCTAATGCACAAAATAAGCCAAACGTCCAATTATGCAACGCAAAAACCAATTGTTTTTATTATTTTTAACCATCTTTTAAACAAAAAAAAAAATGTTATGACAAAATCAAAACAGTTTTAATGCACAAAACAAGCCAAACGGCCAAACGGCGGTGTAAAAATTGGTTCAAAATAATAAGAACAATAGTTTTTTTTGTTGCACAATTTGCCGTTAGGATTGTTTTGTGCATTGAAACTGTTTTTTATTTCGCCGATTATTTTTTATTTTTATCTTGTTTAAACAGCCTTGGTGATTATTGTTTGTTTAAATTTTCAAAGTTGTACATAAAGCAACCGGTTGTGCTTTTTTATTTTATTATTATCTGTTTCTTCGAAAAATTATTGAACATTGAAAAAAAAGTTATATAAAGTTAGCAAAACACCTTATATCTAAAAAATACAAGAATGACAAAATAATTTTCTCCACAACTAATTAACGGCAAATTCATGGGAATATGCAACCGCCTTATTAAAAAAAAAATTAGGGACTTGGAAAGTGGTTTAGAAATTGGTTAAAAATAATAAAAACAATTGATTTTTTTTTGTTGCATAACTAGCCGTTTGACTTGTTTTGTGCATTTAAAACTCTTTTTAAATTTGCTATAAATTTTTTTTTTGTTTAAACAGCCTTATTTTTAAAAAAATTTAGAGACTTGGAAAGCGGTGTTAAAAATAATAAAAACAATATTTTTTTTGCATAATTTGCTTTATTTGTGCATTAAAACTGTTTTTAATTTTGTCTATTCTTTTTTTATTCAAACTACCTTATTTTTAAAATAAGTTTGGCGACTTGGAAAGCGGTTTAATAATTATTTAAAAATAATAAAAGAAATAAATTTTTTTGTTGCATATTTTTCCATGTGGCTTTTTTAAAAATGGTTTTTGATTTTATCATTCTTTTTTTAATTGGAAAAAAAATATTACTTTTTATTCAAAAAGGCTAAGAATTGTTCCAGTTATTATTTACTCAAGTAATAGGTAATTGTTATTTGGGGTGAGGATTATGCATATGGCGAAAGGGTGATAAAAATTATATACACTGCCGGAGAAAAGTATAGGCACAGCAAATTTTTCACAATATATGCAACAATTTTTTTCATTCAATAACAAAAAAACATAAAAATATAATTCCTAAACTTTGTGCAAAACTCGCGAAAATTCAGCAAATTTTCATCAAAATTTTCAACTTTTTAATCAGATTTTTAGAATTTTTTGGGTATGCAGTTTTTCAGCCCATTAAATTCTAGTAAACAAAAATGCAAGTTCGGAGTTAGTCAAAAATCGCGTTGAATTTTGAGATTTTTTTTTGTTGAATATGTTTTGCATCTCTTCCATGTAAATTATTTTCGAAAAAAACTGGTTGTATGGAAGAGACTGCGTAAAAAAAATTGCCAATAATCAACAGTAATTCCTAGCTACTTAAAACTTGCACTTTGTTATAATAAAATTGATTGGGCTACAAATCTGCATACTCAAAAAAAATTCTTAAAAATCTGATTAAAAAGTTGAAAATTTTCATGTAAATTAGCTGAGTTTTTGCGAGTTTTACACAAAGTTTAGGAATTACATTTTTATATTTTTTGTTGTTGTAGAATGAACCATAGTTTTATACGATGTTAGCGGAAAAATATTAGAATACAATTTTTTGCATATATTGTGAAAAATTTGCTGTGCCAATACTTTGTTCCGGCAGTGTAGCAATTTTCTATGAATCTTGAACTCTTTGCAGAGCTTGATGAGGATGCTTCTTTATTTTTTGAATTTTAACCATGGTGATTATTGTTTGTTTAAATTTTCAAAGTTGTACATAAAGCAACCGGTTATGCTTTTCTATTTTATTATTATTTGTTTCTTCGAAAAATTATTGAACATTGAAAAAAAAAGTTATGTAAAGTTAGCAAAACACCTTATATCTAAAAAATACAAGAACGACAAAATAATTTTCTCCACAACAAATGAATGGCAAATTCATGGGAATATGGGACATTTTTTTCTTCATGTTGATTCGCTAACTTTATACACATTTATGTATTATACATTCAAATTGACGAGTTAAACATGTTAAATGAGCTTGAACCAGTTAAAGGAATAAAAGGTGTTCATAAACAAGTTAAATCATTTAACTCGTTTGAAACCCATTTCAGCGGAGAGTTGTATCAGAAAGCTTTCTGCTTCAGCCAATCAGAGAGAGCATAACATTAAAAATTATCAAAAAATATCAAAATTTTTGCATGTCTGCCCGTCAAAAAAGAGGCCAAGGCGATAATTAGTTATTTCCCGTCAGGCCTCATCGTACGCAGAGATAAATAGTGCATACGAAGTCAAAACAAATTTAAACACAAAAAATCGATTTTGAATATTTTTTTAAATTTTTATTTGAAATCAAACAACCGTCAAAATTAACTCCAAATGTTCAATGTGGACGATTGTGTGTTACAAAAAGCCATGGTACAATTATTACAGGTATTGTCTTCCCAGAGAGTTTTGCTTCACATCGAAATTCGTGCTCGCTTATTTTCAGTTTGACGCTTTTCAATGTTGATTCTTTTACTTTTAGTTGGCTTTGCTTTTGGTTTTCGCTCAATTTAATTTTTATAATTTTTCAAAACAAAAGAACAAACGTTTGAAATAAAGTGAACAATAACAATTCTCTATTTATTTACTAAGAAAATGTTTATTTTTCGGCTTTTGCAAATTAAATAAGTTCTATGCAAGAAGGTTTGTTTACAAAAAATACGTGGACATATGTATATGGTATATGGAGAATAGAAATATCCCTTTTTCTTTACAGTAAACCTTTAGGTGTTGGCAAAAATGATATTTTTAAAATAAGGCAGATCGGAATATACGCTCTCTGGGAAGACAATACCTATAATTATTGTACCATGACAAAAAGCTATTTTGCATTTAACAAGTTAAATGGGACTAATTTTAATGAAATATAAGATATGTAGTAACAAAATTTACCGGTTACAATAGTTCATAGAATGCGAAAAGGGTTTAAAATTTGACGGGAACTTTACTAACCGGTTAACAAATATTTGTTACCAGTGCAGTCACATTTGTTTCTCACGTTGGTTTTTATTATAATTCTGCTTTAGAAAATGCACGTCTACAAGAAGGCTCTGCAAGCGCTCATCTACCCAATTTCCTCCACAACGCCGCATAATTTCGTGCTATGGACAGCGACATCACCGACGTACTGTTATGAGTGTGAGGGATTATTATGGGGCATCGCCCGTCAAGGAGTTCGCTGTACAGAATGTGGAGTGAAATGTCATGAAAAATGTAAAGACTTATTAAATGCCGATTGCCTGCAAAGTAAGTAAATTCAAAAAAGTAATTTTAATAACTCTTTTTTTCTATATTTCGATGTACATAAGTATATAATAAGCGCAGGCATTTTTTGTGAATATCATCATATCTGCTCCGTTCGTTCGATTTTCAAAATATGATGAGTTGAATTTTTTGTGATTAGAACTTTTTTAGCGGTACAGGGTGATGTGAAATTTGATGAAATGAAAACCGGTACAGTTGGCACAGAGGAGAAACGACTTGGCGGTTACAGCGCCAAAGAAGAAGAAAAAGAAGAAAACCGGTACCTTGAGAGACAGACCTCTGCGCACTCAAACACGTCTGGACGGATTTTGATGAAATTTGGCCCACGGATTTTTTAGGTTTTTAAAGGAGTTGCAACCTGTTTTAAAAGTTAAATTCAAGTTAATTCATAAATTAATTGAAATAAGTATGCATGACAACATGTGTGTCAAACAAGAGAGAATTAGGAAGGTTTTAGTTTCCATATTTTTTTGAAGATGTCTGCCACCTGCTAGAAAAGTCTGATTTAAATACATTATACACAAGTTATGCAAGATATTTCAATATTGGTGTCAAAAGAAAGAGTTTTAAGAAAGTTTTAGTTTAAAAGCTTGAAACGAACTGAGAACGACAAATTGTAGGAGGTAAAAAGTAGTTGAATGAAAACAAATACTAAGTTAATAATTTTTGCGATTGGTTTCATGCAAAAGCACCATTTGAAAATTTCTATTGCGTGCAATATCTTTGTCAATGATTTTGGTTTCAATGCCATACGGGTGCACTAGTATTTTTTATTACTGAAAAAATTCAATGTCACTACATGATGGTTTCAACCGGACTTTCAAAGACTTCATCAATAATACTTAGTTGCAAGGCATCAAAGCGTTTCTGCATTGTGCCCGTAATGTACACATACAAAATTGTCAGCAAAAGGCACTAGACATTGCAAAAAAGGCAAAAGAAGGCACTAAAAACGACAAAACCGGGAAAATAATAAAAATAACCATTTATTGTAGAAATGTTTATTTTACAAGTAAAAAGGGACTATCTATGAACTAGTTTCATTATATGAAAAATCTTTGACTATTTTCTCCTTTCCAGTTTTTAACCCACAAAACTTTAATCTCTATAGTTGTAGTAGCATTGAACCACAAGATGCATTTTGAAGTTTTCTGGCAGCATTTTCATTCGATTTTCGAATGGAACGTTTAAAACTTTCATATTGTCCGGAATAAGAGCTTTTTCCTTGCCCTTTACAATTAAGGGAAAAAATGCAAATATCTTAAAAACGCCAAAAAAAGGCAAATATCTTAAAAAAGGTTACAAAGGCAACATCAAATAAGTATATATAGAATCAGGGAAAGCTAAATCGTGGGCATTCTTAATCAAATATACTCTATCACCTTAGCAGAAGAAAAGGCAAATTCCATAAAGGCGTTCCCTGCATATGCCATTATTTGCGTTATAAGTATAACACGTTATTAATAGCATAATAATATTTGATTGAAAAGAGACAGAGAGATATAGGATAATATAATAGCGAATTCCATGTAAAAGAAAGAGAGAACTGCTCACACGTGAAACGCATATGCGTTAGATTTCTTTAGGAGCTCTATGTAAAATGATGGAAAGTTTTTGAATTTCTCACAAAAACTGTTTGTAGTAACAGGCGTACATATATAACGCATTAGTTAACAGATAGGGTTCTTACTGGTTAGTGTAATTATACGTGTGTGGAAAGCCTAAAAAACGCACCGCTGCCGTAAGCCATTACAGTTATCTGGAGAATTTATTTTAATCATCGTCCTCCAAATAAGTCGATAAGTTTGGTACAAGATCCCGATTCTATACCCGTAAAGAGAGAGTTCAAACAAATGCTATCGTTATCATTTAATATAATGACAAAATTGTTTAACTTTAATTGATGAAGTCAAGCTAGTTGTTAACAGACGCATTCAGATAAAGGTTAATTGCCAGTGTTGCCAGATTTTTTCAACAAAACTGTAATTTTCCGGTAAAAACGAAGAGTTTTTAAAAAACTAAGGTTAAATAGAAACAAACGATTAATTTAAAATAAGATAAACTGTTTAAGTTATGTTTAACAAAACCAAAAAAGACTACAAAAAGGATTATTTAAATCACATTTTATTTTTTTTTGAACATTTGATTCTATACATCAAATTTAGTATCTCACTTAATTTTAAGAAATCTTTAGTTCTAAAGATTTTTTCTTCGTTTGAATACGCTTTTTTTCTGCACTATGCAGAAGCTTTGTCCTACGTAATGATGAAAAACCCAACAAAAACTAAAAACTATAAGTCAGACGGCAATTTAGCCTAGGATCTCTTTTAATCCAACGAATAATAGCAATCATCTCTGCTCTCTGCACACCCAGCTACAGCTCGAACTAGAGGCACTATCGATAGTTTCAATTTATCACCACTTTCGATGAATGGTGCTCACTATCGTGATACTATCGGAAATATTTTTTCATCGTTTTTTATTCCGTTATTCGATGTCAGTTATAATTCCCACTTCAAGAATTCACAATTATTTGTGCGATCATGTAAACATATACGGAGTAAATATGTTCGAAAAATTTTTTATATATAGAGAATGAGCAAAATCTTTAACAAAAAACTGTCGAAAATCAAGAATAAGCCCTGGCTACTTCAAACATGCGCTTTTTACTAAAATTTAATGTACTGCAAATATTCAGTTTAATTTCTTAGAGTCGTTCAAACTATTTTTATTTTTAAGTTTGTTTAAAAAGTTACTTTTCGGTTAAAATACATATATCAAATCGATAACCTAGAAAAAAGAAAATGACTCTGAAAAAATCATGTTACTTTCTTCTTAGTGTAAGCATACTTAATTTATACTGAAATACTTATCTAATCTAGTTCCTTGAAGGGAGATCGTGTATGTTCATTAAAATGTGATTTCGTTTTCAAATCCATTTTATTGTTTAGTAATCTAGATTAGATGTGCCTACAGCAGCGGCAACGTATGCACAGCCTGTACAAAATTACTACGGGAGCAATCTCAAAGGAACATGCGACAAATACCACTGCTGGAAGGAACCTTTCGTTTTTTTTCGAGTATGTCCTATCAAAACACTATTTGTTCCCCTTTATACCCGAAAGGGTATTAATTCGCCTAGTCGCTTTAAAGAAATAAAAACTAGCGCTAGCTGCGATTCAAACTGGGGTTCTCTGGTTTGCTAAGCAAACACTACCTCTGCATGCCAACACTGTATTTTAAATGATCTCAAATTATACCGGTAAGGGATGAGTTGAAACTAACTGATTTCCAATAATACCCGCATGAGACAAGTTGCAACTAACAAATGCCCAACTGTACCCCATTGATACTAATCCTGGAATACTCTCTTTAGAGATTAGTCGCGCAATTTTTTGCAGGATATTAATCACTACTAGAGATGTCAGTGGCAAAAATACATCGATGTATTTCTTCACTTCGATACACCGTCTATTTATAGATCGAGTGGAAAATTTTCGATGCATCGAAGTTAAACATCGATATTTTCGATGTATCGATATTTTTCCGACATCCCTAATCGCTACACACTTATCTTCGAGTAAAATTGCGTATATGTACAATAATAAGGCTGCCAGACGTTCTGGTTTTCCAGGATTTGTCCTGGTTTAAACAAATTTTCCACACTTAAATTGTCCTAGTTTTTAATGAAGGTCAATGCAGACACCCATCTAATTTTTAGCAGATTTATGCTTTGAAAAAAAGCATTAGTAGTCGAAAATCGATAATGAAAAATTTTTTCTAACATGTTGAACAATATCTGGTGAGTTTACCTTCTTTTTGTTTAGTTTATTTGGTTAAAATCTAATTTCGTATCTTCAGTGCAGTTCCTGAACAGATACACGGCTGAGGGGTCACACTTACCACGCTGTAGATAATTTCAGGAGTTAAAATCTCTTCCAAAAGACCTTTCTGAAAGTCATTCCTTTCTCCTTCCTTTTTTGTACAGTGTGGCACAAATTGAAGGGGTTCTGCCTTCGCTACTCAAAGAAGAGCTTCCAGAAGGGCTTTTGTAGGACGTACTTCTGAAGGCCTTTGAAGAAGTTTTTTTAAAACTGTTTTTAATTCATAAAATTTATACTTCTTTAGGGAATTTAAATATTTAAGGTTCATATCAAATATGTTTTATTGAGGCTTAAAGCGCTTATTGAATCCTTTTTGTAATGCTAAATAATATAAAAATATACTTAAGTACATTTGCGTAAATTGCAAATAGGAAACCCCTTTCTAGGAAGTATGCAGGGAAGCACTTTTTTCAGTCCTTATTGGGTAAGTCTTTTAGAATGGCTTCACTTCAGACAGCCTTCCTGAATTATCTTTAGGTTAGGCATACATGTACAAAAATTATCATGAAGCGCATTATAGGATATGTGGAAATTTGTTAATGGTGGTAAGACAAGCATTCAAGACCACGTTAAAAGCATCAAACACTTCACAAACATTCCAAGTTACGTCACCGTCAAGAGAAATTTGTTCTTTTATGATTAAAAAAAAATCAGAACATGAGCGTTTCATCGTCTTCAATCATTCAGCTCTACGGATTGTGCCACAAAACTAATTGCTTATAATATCAGAAAATTCTTCAAAATAATGCAACGCCAGAACCAGAGCAACTGAATTTATAGGGGATAATTGTCCTGGTCGATGGGTTCAGGATTATGGCAGCCCTAACATATAAGCAATTTTACAACAGCTGCAGCGAGTGTTGCTAATTTTAATGAAAATGCATCAGAACACTAGAAAAAGCCCATTTTTCCAAAAAGTACTAAATTTAGTGCGAAATGCATTGCGTTGGAAACAGGGACCTGTGCATAAGCATGCTCAAACAGTGATGTCAGATCAAGTAATGAGTAAAAGTACTGTGTATATTTCTCCATGAAGTAAAAAGTTATAAATGGCGACGAGGTTAATTTTTAGTTGCTGCACAGAACACTGATAAGATTCACATATTTATCTTAGGACTTAATTAATATAATATCGAGCCCTAACCGCCGAAATAACGTAAGCGACACTTTTTTCAAAATTTTCTTTTTGGTGCAGAAATATTCCTAGAGCATCTAGGTGCATTTCTGCATCAAAAAGAAAATTTTGAAAAAAATGTCGCTTACGTTATTTTGGCGGTTAGGGCTCGATATGTTAAACCAAACCAAAATCCTTCATATGAGTTATTATCGGTAAATATTTAAGTACACTCACTTCCTTTACCCCTTCCGCTAGTTTTTTCTTTCCCTTCTTGCCGGGCTCCCCATATTTGCGAATCTGGGCGTCGCTAGTCTAGTTAATTGGATGTTGGTTAAGGTATTGAGTTAGAAACTGTTATGATTGGTTTATTTGTGAAATATGTCAATCTAGTTCCCTGACTTTCAAATGCTTCTGGCAATATCTTAAATCGTGTTGGAGGTGAGAAATTAAACAATCGATGTATCGCTTTTATTACCGCTATCGAAGTTTTCAAACATCGATGTTTTAAGAACGAGTTATGCAACAACTGCAAATTAGTGACCACCGGGTAGCTTCGACTTCACTCCATTAAAGTACAGCGCCGGACTATACATACATAAATAGTGTGTCTCTAAAGCGCGCCCTTGTTCGACCTCTAGAAAATAGACCAATCACAAACGATGATTGAATAAATACATTGATTTTCAATTTTTAGGCCTGGAGGAACAAAAGAAAATTTCAAAGAAGCAGACTTATCTCTTTTCATGTTCATTTTTTTCTTTAATTTGCTTACAAATAGGAGCCGCCGAAAAGAGTTCGAAGCATGGAGCAGAAGACAAAGCCAATTCGATAATAACGGCCATGAAGGATCGCATGAAGCAGCGTGAGCGGGAAAAGCCCGAAATTTTCGAGCTGATACGGTAAGTTGCATAGGTCTAAGGTATTATCTCACTTGTTCATACATCCGTTCGTGATGCAAACGTTTAGAAAAAAGATAAAAATTGCAACCGAAAGGTGAAACGAGGTCATAAAAAACGACTAAAAAGATAAATTCCCCAAAAAAAATAACCTAGCTATGCAGATTAATTTCCAATTTTGGTTTTCGGCAAATCAATTAAACTTTTTGCTCGATTCTGTTTTGGTATTCATATTTACTTTCATGCTAAGCATCTACTGCCGATTTATTGAAAAAGTATTTAAGTAACATACAGCACTCCCTCTTCTAAAGAGACACAACTCAATTCGAAGAATTTATCTTCAATTAATGCAAATACATATTTTTATTTTTTACGATTATATTCTCTAACTATTAAACTACTTATGTATCGGTTTTTTTATTAATTTCGTTGAATCTGTACGACCCGTAAGAAGTTATACAACCGGATCTGATTTTTGAGTTGTGCATATTTTAAAGAGGGACTGCGTTATATTTTCCTCACATATAACCAATTGCTTTAAACTTATGTACAGATTAGTAACACATATACAACATATACTATTTTTGTATATGTATATCGTCAAAAGGTTGGGAGTCATTTTCTTATGCGCTTGCTGGCTATCGGGAATACTAGTTTTGATAACACACAGAGTTCACAGAGTTTTAGTCAGACAGTTGCGTACAAAAAACATTGACTCCCTTAAATGTGCTTCTGTTTAAAGCATTATAAATTGTATCGGATTTCCAAATAGCGACAGAGAAATCATATTTTAAGATTATCTTACATTTCAGAACGTAGAATACCTCATTTAATTTAAAAATATGGGATTTACTATAATCCGCAAGAGACTTATATCGGCTTAAGCAGAATGCCCCTTGCTGCAGAATCATCGGCGAACCACGTCAGGCATCTTAGATTTTTATATATCCGTCCTTTATATATGTAGGTCACCAGAAAAGGCAAGCAACAATGAAGGTTGTTAGACAATATACGCTTCGAGGTCTTTTCCGATCCCACCTTGACTACAGATTTGCTAGAGCATATACAAATTTTTCAGGGGCAGCTTGCAAGTGGCAAACCCCATATTAAGGAATTATTTTCCTGGAATGATCTACTTCGTGGCTACCCACTACATTCGTGTGTCCGGGAACCCAAATTAAGTTAAGCTGTAGCGCAGCTCTCATTGCAGCTTAGCTGTCACTGAAGACGAAAACACCTGTTCTAAGTTTATTTATAAACTACATAATAGCTGAAAACTCAGCGTGGAAGTCACTACAGTATACTGGTAAACGAAATGAGCAGCTCATGGCAAGGTTTCGCAGTGAAAAAATTTTTCTAAAAAAGTTAACCGACTTCTCCCTGCTTGGGTTTCCTTTATCGAAATTTCTATCAGGTACCAGTTTGACCGCATCGTTCCAATCTGCCCGGATGGATATCAAATTTGTGTCAAGAGTCCTTTCTCCCACTAAAATGTCTGTCTTAATCCGTAACTGGTATCGTGGGGTCCAAAGGAACCCCACCACCAATTGGATAAATTTGCTCAAAGCCAAAGGCTAAGTAATAAGTGGGTATAAAATGAAATATTTATGATAAAATTAATAAAAATTTGATTTCTATTTCGAGAAAATTTTATTATTTTAAATGCTTAGGTTTTTCCACAATTTGTGTATGTAACACTATTTATTTGCTTTTCAATTGGGTTCCAAATGAACCCTCGATACGAACAATGTAACTTAAAATATGGCTTAAACGAAGAGCAACAAGAGCTGTTGTCCCTCTATACTCAGTTGCAGAAAATCCAAAAGGACATTTAAAGCGTCATTTGGTGTTTTTCGAATTGTTCCGCTGATCGAGATCTTACTAAGCCATTGTACTTTACTAAGCAGTTAATTTATCTATGGCCCTCTCTCAAGAGTACAGAGCTATAGAGGTCTTCTCATACTACTTTCTGCTTCCTGATCATCTTTTTATACAAATCATTATTCGTAGTTCAATAAGTGATCAAACACACTGTCCCGTTTTCATACAGTTTTTTTTATGTCAAAGGCTTGGCTTTATTTCACAGGTTTTATTTCGGAGCTCACATCTTAATTAGCGTTCTGTTAATGCAGCCACTCTGAAAATCTCCGCGTACGCGAGATATCACCGTTTGAAAATTTTTCGAATACAAATTTTCTTGGTTTCACATATGTCCTGCTACTTACCAAGTGCGATGGATGATATCCATTATCGATACCCTGCATCGATGCATAACTGATAACTACTAGATACGTGGAGTTGAGAAATATTAATTTGAATGAATGGCGATTTATATATATTAAGCTTCCAAAGCTTAAATTTTCTAGTATGTACATAGTTGAATTGTATTCTAATTTATAGAATGCGAAACATGAACTATCCGTGGCGCCCTCAAGCGATACTCTGACTGATTTTTCCGTTTCTAGTAAGAATAATAAATGCATGGTTGGCAGGAAAGCATGAGAATGCAACTCAATCAGCAGCATGAAAATCAATAGACCACGAATTAACAACTATAATCTTAGATGATTCGAGACTTAAATGCATTTGGTTTTATAATGGTCCCCATTTTATGGATTTTTGTAGTTCAATCAACTATTCATTAAACTACAATTTCCAATAACTTACTTTGAAAATGTTTACAGCCGAAATGCACACTCATGAATTTGTTTTTGTAGTATCGAGATGTTTAATTGGAAGATTTTTTTGCAAGGACGTTGCTTAGGATACTAGTTTTAATTTTTTTATCGAAAAAGTAAAATCACACTATAACGATAAAAATGTACAAAAAAAATATATTAAAATCAAAAAATAATGATTTATCTTGATTTGAATGAAAAACTTTGATCGAATAAATAGAAATGCGATTTCAACGGCTTAAGAATGATATTTACTATAAGGGTAATAATCGTTATGGTCACTGATTAAACGTGCTTACTCCGCGTTCGCAAAGGAGCTTACCGGATCTAAGATCTACTTCGAGAATCAATGTGTATGGACATTCCTTTTCCACCAAATGGCTACTTAAGGTCTTTTCTAATACCTACGGCAGGGGTGGAGTTATCGCATAATGATACTTTGGCATTAGCCATGGGATGCGATTAAAAAGATTTTGTATGTTAAGCGTATGTATGGCTGACTTAAAAAAGGTACCAATACAATGTTTGGATACCGTTCTACTGAGGTATTCAAACTGTTTGTATATGCAGAGTTGCGAAACATTGCAACCACATACATTGCATATTTTGAATATTCAATATAGCAATGAATAACCTTTCGTAATTTTCCATATTCACGACACCAATCGCAACTAAAAATAAACGAAGCATCAACTTTGTTCCTGATGCGCTGATTACTCTAGCGATGCGTTTCGATAACTTTTCGTTTTGGAAGAGTATACATTGTCAACATTTTGTAGTTCGACGTTATGGAACATTATACTTTGTACGTATGCAATGCAATTGACGTTTTAGAAAACAGCCTACATATGTTATTTGTCACGTGGTTAGGCGCGCTTGTCCGCCGATGATTCTCATGCCAAGATTTTTCATGCCAGAACTGCGTTTGGATTTTCACCATTGCCTTCCGGGAAGCTAGAATAATAAAAATATTAGTGGGATTCATGAAAAGTTGCAAAGTTGTTGCAAATATCGCATTTGTCGCAAAATTTGCAACCTTGTGACACAGTTGATTACTTTTGTATGGAAACTTTCTTACGACAAAATTGCGACATTGCCATAATATATGAGCTGGCAATCATTGCAAAGTCAGAGTCGCGAAACACATGTTTTTTTCATTGTCCTCAAATACTTCAAGAAAAAGTATATCAGTTAAGGCTGCTTCGAAATATAATTGTAAAAACTTTTCTTTTTCTCTAACTCGCGGCATTTTTAAACAATTTTACATTTGCAATCCGGAATTGCGATAGGTCGTTCATACAACTTTGTTCGTAACTTTGCCATTTCGCCCAAAAATGCCACCTTGCGACGTTTAATGAATCGCAATATTTGGTTCCTTCTATTTAATGATTCAAACTCGGAACTTACAAATTCGAACCCGGCGAACGCTTAAAGATGACACCATAAAAATGTTATTTTGCTGTGTAGAGCATAACTGTCGTCTAACGGTCACTTCATTAATACTTCGCCAAATATACCAATGCCAATTATTAGAAAATACTCAAGTAGCACACTAGTGTATAACTTGGTGTAAATTTATGAATTTTGGTACAATTATTCAGATTTATACCAAACTTCGTAAATTTCCACCAAATTATACATCAGTGTGCTACTTGAGTATATGTATGTGTGTACATACCTGTAATACCCCCACAACCTGGTCATGTATAACCTCAGCACTTTGATACCAATATTTAAATATAGGCAATTAAGAATTCTGTAATCAACTTGCTTACTTGCGCTATTACTATATACATATGCATATGTATGTATACAACTTTTTAAGCAGCACCATTTTTAAAATATTGTCGAAAACGGGTAGGTATAAACCGTAAATTTTTTATGTATGTACAAATATATGTACATAATTTAGCATAAATGGGGTTATTGAAAATTCATTCAAGCCGTTGCATTATCCATATGTATATTCATCAATAAAAATATTCATAAAACAAACTACCACTACACCTGTCATTTAAAAACCTCAACATTAACCTACTATAACAATTACCACCATTCCTTTACTACGATCTGTGCGCATGCGCAGTGCGGTATTCGGCGTAGAAGAGAAGAGTCATACAGGTCACATGAAGGCAGTTAAACAAAGCGTTTTGGATGGTACTAGCAAATGGTCGGCAAAAATTGCAATTACAGGTTTGCATCTTTTAACTATGAATTAAATAAGAACTCAGTTTGTGTCTTTGTAATACGCACATATCTAAAAAACACTTCAAATACAACGGAAAATAGAAACACAAAATCCAAAACATGAAATTCAAAGCACGA